GACAGATTGGTATTGTCAGAGGTGATGAGTGAAGGGTGTGAAAAATAGGTGAACTGCTTTTTTTTTTTTTTTTTTGGTTAAAATAAAATAAAATAAAGGGTATTATTGGAACAATTGGTAAAATTTGAATCAGATCTTTAGAATAAGTCATAGCATTTTATCAATGTTGATTTCCTAATTTGGTCATTGTTTTATGGACAGGTAAGAGAAACTCTGTGTTCCAGGAAATATATCCTGAAGTATTTAGGAGTAGAAAAGGGCGTACACAGTGAACAAACAAAACATCATGACAGGACGAGAGAGAGACTTGACTGCCTGAGAAAGGAGCTGAACTCTGCTCTAAAACAAGGACCCGCATTTGCACGTTGCACTGGGCACTGCACATCCTGTTGTTAGTCCTGTTTAGGAGAACAACAAAAGATCACTGTTGGTAATAAAAGAAATGGTTGAGGCACGACTTTTGATTTCCACCATATGCCCTTTTAATGATCTAGTGTAGCCAGCGTTTCAGGCAGATAGCTCATGGAAGTTTATCAGAGGCGATCACAGATCAAATGAGGCAGTCATTTAAATGGTTCCAACAGATTTGATAGAGTAAACGCCATACAGTAAGTGCAAAGGCCAATGGGACCTGTATGGTGCTGTAGATTTGGCAAAACCCTTCCTTTTTATCCCAATTTCAGAGTCTAGCCTGGCAGGATTTTTTGTTGTCCTGGAATGAAAACCAAGGATATTTGAATTGGCCTGCATGTTATAATATAGTGAGGTGGGACTAGGATTTGATAATCATAAGAGCCAGTTTGTGAACTATATTAATGATATCATGATATATATGATATCATTATGATATCGTCCACATCTCACACCAGCTGGTCTGCATCAACATGTCTTTTTTTCATTCAAAGTCCTTATTACCCACAGCAGGATGTCTTGGTCTTCTTTCTAACACCTAGCAATTTCTAGGTCTCTCATCGCAGTGTGTCTGTTCTCCTGGGCCAAGTTTTAAGTTCTTCCATGGGATCAGCACTTTTCTGAGCCCTAAGTCTTCAGGGGAGGAAGCTCTCTTGGCAGGAAGAGTGGATTTCCACTGAAAATTGATTTGCCCCTTCATGTTGTTTCATTGCCCTTTGAATAACCTTGACACATCCACCACTTCAGCAATAGCTCTGAGGTTGTCCTTTGGCCACACAGTGAGAGCCCAGGCTCATGTGGGTTCCCACAGAACCCACATTATCTCGTTTGACCATCTCAGAGGTGAACTGACTTCCCAAGGCGTAGGACTAGCAAGTGGTGAAACCATCACTTGAATGCAGTTGGTGACCTCCCTCCAGAAACCCCCTTTGATTTCCTTTCCCTAAACTACCCCCCACCCATCCCCAAAGCTGCATTCAGTCTCCTTACTCTTGTCAACGAAATTGCCGACCTGATATTGAAATGATCTGCTTTTCTGATTGTTACCCGCTCTATTCTCCTTATAACTGGTTTAAATCACACTTGGTATAGTCCATGCTTAGTAAAGAACTTAAGCACAGTAATAACAACAATAAGAATATTTATTGCTCCACCAGACCTGGTTGTTGTGAAAATTATGTTTGCTGTGATGAAGTTTTAAAAAAGTGGGGGAGTCTTTCATTTTGTGAAGTGCTGAAGGGAAAGTGGGTGAGTGGAAAACGTTGCTTGTCCTCTTCAATTTGAAATACGTAGAGTGGCTGTTCCACCTTAAAGAAAGAGTGATGATAGGGGATATATAAAATGCAGTCATTTTAACCCGCTGCTAAATTTATTAACACCATGAAGGTTGAGGCATGAGAAAAAGACTACTCTTAGTCTAATTAGCTGGAACTTAAACTTTTTTGAATTTTCCAGTCCTGTGTCAAAGTCTGGATGTACATCTGGATCTCCAGGTAACCCTCTAATTATCCCCTGAAGGACGCATGTATTCAGGCCACCTGACATGCATTATCCAGACCACCGGGACTGCCCAGACCTCCTGGTACCCATCTTCCAGGCATTCATCCACCTGTTATCCATCATCCTGACTGCCTGACATCTGACTGATAACACCTGCATGCCATGTGATCAGGTGTTTCTGCATCATCATTGTCACCACGAGATAAAAGTGTGAATCTCAGAACAACTGTTAAAAGGGCATGGTTCTAAGAGAGGTAAATTGTGCCCTAACGTCATGGACCTTACATAACCAAACTTTTGGTTTAGCTAATGACAATTCAACTCCACCTCATTAATGTTTGCGGAAAGCTTCATTGATATGATCGCTTACAAATCAGCTTCTGGATGTTAACTCATCTATCACTGCCATGTCCGTGTTCCAGGGAAGACTCTTCCCAAAGAACTGTGTTCCCTACTGACCGTGCAGGGATCAAGTTTGTACGAATCCCAAGAATCTCTGTGGCAGGTAAAAGAACGGCCTCGAGTTTTTTAT